GACCCGAACTTTCTTTGGAGATTTTGACCATGTCCTATGATCGCGAACCCTCTCCAAGGTTCAGCCCTCTTCCAGGCAACACCCTTCTTCCAGGGCCCCTCTTCCAGGTTTTAAGTCTTTTAATGTGCCATTCTTTAATCATTAGGTTGACCTAGCCAACCTAATCTTCCCACATGGGGGTATGCCGGTGAGAACCAGCTCTCATCCAATCCTGCACGTCCATATATTATGTGTTCGGAAATTCTAGTCTTCCCTAGACATTCCGATCCACAAAAGATGGCTCATACAAGACGGTAATTTTTTTTGGCATCTTTTCTAACCCTTCCCGACCAAAAAAGTCGGTAGGGATCCATGTAAGTATGGATGCGAATCCTCTTCCAGATCCAGCCTATCTCAAGGCAATACCTCAACATCAAGGCCCCTATCTCAAGGGTTTTATTTTTATTTTTATTTTTTTTTGTTATCAGACCATGCAACGGTCCAGGTCCTAGACATCAAGACTTATCCGTCTAAAGCAAGCTTAGTAATCTTGACCACATTTTGTCCATCCTCTTTGATTTCCCCGATCCTATTCATGTGGGCGGATTCAAGTACTCGCCTATGGGTCTTTTTCAAGCCCCGAGTACTTCATCCAATTCCCCTCTCAAGATCATCTCTTTGAGCATAGCCCTAACGTTTCGGCAGTCCGCCGTGTTATGGGAGTCAGATTGGTGGTAGGTACACCACTTCTCTGTCCAAGGCCGCTTGGGTTGTTCTCCCTTCCTCTCATCCCTAATTTGGTGGACTGACCCGTCATATGTGGCCCTTGTCTTAGACCCTCCTGTCTGGTCATCCTTCTTCGGCTTCTCGGCTTTCACTTTTGTATAGCCTTCCTCCAGCTCCTGCTTGCTCTTGTTCAGGACCTCCGCCTCGGCATACTCCCATGCTGTATTATAGGCTTCCTGATAAGAGGAGGGTGGCCTTCTACAAAATTCGGTGTAGAGGTCACCCGACCGGAAGGCATTCATCAGCAAAGACACGGCCGTCTTATCGTCCATCTCTTCTACTTTATCGACCTCATCCCTCCAGCGCGTCAAGAATTGAGTCAAGGACTCCTTCTCCCTTTGTCCTACTGTGTGTAGGTAGGTGAACTTCTTTCTCTTTATGCAGTTGTCCTGGTACTTCTTGCGGAAAACCTCGGCAAGTTTCTCAAAGGACCCAATCCTGCCATGGGGAAGGCCGTTAAACCATTCCACCGATCTCCCTCTCAAGGATGAGAAGAAGAGCAGGCACTCCTCAGCATCAGTGCACCCGGCCATCTGTGCTGCATTGTGGAAGGTATCAAGGTGGACATTCGGATCCTCCTTTCCAGTGAACTTCTCCACGTCCAGCTTGATCTTCCGCCTCAGTTTTTGCGCATGTACCCTGGCTGAAAAGGGAGATTTGGCCAGGGTATAC